GAATGTATGGATTTTTAAAACTTTATTTTTAAAGAATTAGCCTTTTATTTTCCCAATTAACATAAATTGATTTAAAATTACACCCCTTTCCACTGTTGTTGATGATACACTATTCTGTTTTTCTTGCAATTTCTTTTTCCTTGCTCTTTTGTGTGGGCTAATGAACTGGCCACCTTAGGTGACCTTTGAACCACAGATCTTGATGATGAATTCAAGGTGTATCCCTCTGTGTGGCCCTGGTCTCTCCACCCCTCTCTGTTTTGACTCCTTCACAGTCCACTTTGGGTAGCTGACCACTGGCCTGTGATGGCTGCTGAGGGGGAACTATTTTTGTTTGCTTTTGTAAACTTCTCAACTCTGAAAAGAGAGGGAAAAGGAGGCAGCTTTCCTTGATTTTTTTTTCATCTGTGTCATTTATGAGGAAGAATGTCTGTTTTTCTTGAATGGTCTATAAAAGGAGTGACAAAAAGTGAAACTCTTGACTTTGATGACGTTCCAAAGAATGGATCCAGGATTCTAAAAATGAAGAAGGTTTCGAGAGCAGATTGAGTAAGAAAATAAGAAATTACTGACATTATGTTGCTTCAGTATTTTTGGATCTTGTTCCATTTCATTTTTTCAGCTATCTTTTTCTGATCTTTCAGCTTTTCTGAAGTACATCTTTGGGGAGAAAATGGGTATCATGGACAAAATCTGTCATCTCTGGCTTTGAATTTGTCCAACATCTTTTTTCTTTTTAAGAATTTAAGAATTTCGAATTGCAGGGTGAAGTTGAAAGTCTACAAGGGACATGTGATGTGTGCTGAAAGGAGACGTCATTTCTTTTTGACCTTTGTGTGCCTATTGACAATTTAACAACTTTGTGCTGCACATAAAGAGGAGGCAAAACCCAACATTGTTCATGTTGATTATCTGCTCATGCTTACATTCGGCTGCCGACCCTTTCCCAGATACCTGCCGAAGGTTTAGATAGAAACCTATTGGAAGCGGATTGGATTTGCAGGGAATGTGAAAGTATTTGGAACTGGCTGTGTTGCTCGGGAAGAAGTGTCAGATGCGGTGAGGACTTCTCGAGTAACACGAGAGAGGACTAGCGAGTGAGGAGGGGTTTTCGTGGAAGAAGCAGAGCAGCTGCTGTCTCGATCCCCTCTCTTTGCCCATGCAGGGCTGCTCCTGTTGGACAAGAAAGGAGCTTTGACAGCTCTCTTGTCATACAATTGTTTTGCGTTTTCATCCCTTGCTCTCTGTTTTATTATTGGATTATCATTAGGAATGCTTGGGATCGGCTGGAAACTCCTAATGCCAAGAGCTTAGATTGTATTTAACTGCTTCATAATGTTCCAAAACCTCTCCTTGCTAAACTTTAAAAAACACATGGAACAGAAAATAAATATTTCTGTAGCCAAGAGACGTTTACGACAGGTTGCTTCTTTCCCAATAAATGCTGTGATCATTTCTCCTGGGACAAAAAAAAAATGTGCATCTACAATTGCATTTTGTTGACAGATACAGTCTGCTTTCAAGGACTCACCCAGGGAGGGTGAATTCACTGTTATTCCTGAATAGGGATATGTTTTGGAACATTACTTTGCCATAAGAAGTATATATTTAACCTGATACCTTCTGCTCCCATCCCACCTTTATCTATCTATATTTATCCCATTTTCTCATCTTACCTGCTCAAATTGCTTTGTGACTGGTGAGATGAGCCACTGTTAATGATTTTTAAGGGATAAACCGTGAAGGTTTAAGATCAAATCCCCAGACTTCGTCATGGGCCTACAGCACTGAACCACAAGTTTTAGGATCATTTCCCTGTAAGAAAGTCTATTGACACCAGGCTTTTCAGACCAAGCGGAATTATTAAATTTTAAAAGGACACTTCAGGCTGAAACAGTAAGTAATCGAAAAGGGAAGTGTCTTTTCCGTCTGTTTGCCCCTTGAGTGTCTTACTGCTTTCTGAGAACATTTCCGTGTCTTCTATTGCCTTTGGAACTGGGAAGTGCCTGCACTGATCCGCAAGACAAGACGAGCAAAAGCGGCTGACCTCTGGGATGAAGGCCCACAGCCTCTGGCTTTTCTTCTCCTCCTCAGGGTCTTTGGAAGAACATCAGCAGCCTCTAGAGGTGCTGAGATTTAATCACCAGCATTTAAATATATCTGACTACAATTAGAAACGATGCCTCACTAATAGGTAACACTTTATTTTAAGCACTCCATATTAAGCATTTATTATGCAGTTTTGAGTCAATAATCAGCACATAGGAAATGATGCATAACGCAAAGGTAATGGATTGTTAGGTGATTGTTTTGTTGATTCTCAAACCTGTCTTACTAACAGGTTATTGCCTACCAGTACAGGAATAACATTGCCTGTACTAAAGAGGCCATATTAAGCCTTACTAACAGCCTGTAGATTGTACATACAGGTACTACTTTTATGTAATTGTACCTTGACATTTTGGTAAATAAACAGCAGAAAATAATGTGCTATGCTGCTTTTCTTTCAAATATAAGTATTGTTGCTTGTAATACTTTTTTTTTTTACAAGGATTTTTTAAGCAAAGTGACGCTTTTTACTTTGATTTTTGAGTCTGTAACAATATAGTAGAGGCTGTTGGCTAGTTTGTTTTAGATTGAATTAAAAATAAACACAAAGGCGAAAGAGACAGAACAAAGTGTGTTGTTAATGTCTGAATCTTGTTGATTAATTCCAATTAATTCCAATTAAATAATTGATATTAATTAATATCAATTATCAGGATTTAAAGATATCAATTCTGTATTGATATCTTAGAGTTGCCATCCTTAAACAGTCTTTTTCTGTTACCCCTTAAATTCACTACAAACTTTAAGTTGTAAAACAGTCTCTTAAGCATTATAGAATATTACAGTTTTCCATTTCAAATGGTGAAAGCTTTAGGAATTGACTTTTTTGTTCCCTTAAAAAAGCCGGTTATTTCACAGTATGGCCTAATTTTTCAAAGTAAGTTAATGAGATCTAACTTAACCGGAGTCAAACCAGTTAGGACTTACAAGTGTAAAAAGGGAAGATGCGCTTGAATATACAGTATATTGACTTAGACTAAAGGTATAATAAAATGCAGATTGTCCTAGCTGTAAAAACTGCACAAATAGGTACATTTACTTATAAATCATTTCACTCATTAATAAACCTTTACCTGATTCGTGAAAATCACTGGAATATCAGGTTTAACAAGACAACTGGCCATTCCTTTATCAAAGTGTTTTTAGCATATTTTTCAGCAAAGTGTTTAGCAAGTGTTTTTTAGTCTATTTATACAAAAAACATACAATTTGTCTTCTATTTATTGTGTTGGCGATTACTATATATTGAAATGCAGCATATTGCTGATTACTATACTGTTAAGTGCTCATTGTGTAATTTGTAGACAAAAGACCAAATGTATTGGAGATAACATTGCAAACAGTGAGAGCTGGTATATTGCTCTGTTTCATTTTCTTGAGTTACTATATTTTCATATCAACAGCGGACATCGCACATCCTCACAGAGAACCAGTAACACTTTACAACATAAAGTCTGTAGTGACACCTAGTGGTTTTTCCATGAGTGGCATTTATAACAAGCAAAATGAAACGTACAGCAGGTCTACTGTGCATGGTTTGTGTTTAATGGCAACATGAACAAAATTATAAGAATCCTTCATTAATCCATATGTTCTATGGGTGCAATCTGATATCACCATACGAGCCTCAGTTTGGTCTACATTTTCAGTATTAATATTAAATGATTTACCGACAGGAACAGAAATCATTCTCTTTGGTCTCTCTAGAATATAAGTGAAGAGGCTCTGTATTTTAAATTATTTAAAGAAATTAAGAATAACAGAGTGTTCATCACAGGAAGTTTTAATAACTACAACAATATTCTCTATTTAAAAATAATAGCTATATACTAAGCACACCTCAGAAGTACTTTAGTTCAATTTAGCTATAATCAGAAAAGTCTCATTACATCTTCTAATGATGGATGCTACCTCAGGGAAAGTAAAGTTCAGATCTGGCTTCTTCAGAAGGTCCCTAAGGAACAGCCCAGCTTGTCTGTACATTGCCTGCCTGCTAGAGCACATATAATAGCTCAGATGCTTGTGGCACTCAAGCCTGACCATGCTAATATGCCTCTCTTTGCTTTAACAATGAGATCATTCAGCACTCTTAATAAGAGCTGATGACAAACCATTTGAACCCCCTTCTCTCTTCTTTTAAAGGGATAATTAATCGTATTTTGTTGCCAAACACCTGTGCTAAATTAGAGCTTAATGAAGGCATAATTGATGCATTAAGGAGTTTGCTAACAGAGTCCCACCCAAGACAAGCACAGCACTCCATCTAGCTAAACAAAGCAGGGTTTATTGCAGGACCTATTTTATCACAGTCCAGGATCTTACAATGGCAGGACCAGGGACTGTTGATACAGTAGTGTTGGCCTATGACCTTTTACCCCAAAAGCAACTCTGGTCAGAGGGACAGGTTACATAGTGTACTGTAGATTTAAACATGAGACTCCTGTTTTTCCATGCTGTATGTATTGGCTCTGTCACTTATCAATCTGCCCATTTCTTCTATGAACAAATACTAAAATCATCTCTTATTAAAGCTGTCTTGAAAATACAACCAGTTTCAAAACAGAAGGAAGAAACAATATGGTGGGGTAAGCTGATCCAAATGCACAGTGCTCACTAAGTAAAGAAGTGTCTCCTGTTCTTAATTCTTATGTAATTCCTCTTAGTTTCCACTTAATGTTTCACTGTCAAAGGTTCTTACTTGATTTCTGATTACTAATCAAGTCTAATCCTAGCCATTCCTGTTCAAGATTTAAAAAAACGTTCCCATTGAAGCCTGGTAAACATACATGATTACCCTTGTTTGGGTCATTTTATATATTATATACTGTAAAAGGCAAATCAACATATGCAATGAAAATTTAAGTTTATTTTTTATTTAACAACATAAAGGAAATTAAAATACATCACCGACGTTATTTGTCCCATCCCTCCATTGAACTAAGTGACACCTGGTTGCACTAACAAGATGTAGACTGTATTCTATAGGGCTGCTGTGATGGCAAACTTGTCAGCATATTCCAGATCTGAGCTTTGACTATCTCTCAAACAATATTGTTTATCAAAACATTTGTTTTGTTTTCCCCTAAAAAGGGGTGTGGGATATGTTCATCCCACCAGAGCATTTATACCCATCTCTTATGCTGAGAACTGAAGGGAGCCCTTTTGTTATGTCTACTTCAAATCTTTTTAGTGCAGTTAAATTATGTTTTAGTCAATCATACAGTGACAGTTTAGTGACAACTGAAACAGGGAAGGTGGACCAGTCATAAGTATCCCAGGTCATGTTCAAGATCAATCACCCAGACCACTAAAAATACAAGATACTGTCCTGTGTTATGTTGGTAAGGTGTCAATGTAGTAAACTTTGAACTGCATTTAATTTTGGATTTTGAATACAGTTTACTTTAGTTTTGGTATGATTGGACCCAATTTCAAGAGATTTGTATGACTTTGTACAGCAGGAATTAAATGGGCACAATATTTGTGTGCAACAGTATCAGTGATGATAGAATTTGAATTCCTTTAATCATTTGGGCATTCTTCGTTTCAGTGCCTGTCTCAAAAAAAGGACAGGGTTTCGTGACACAGGGCTAACATACAATAAAGTATAACTCCTTTACTGCTAAAGCTTTGAACGGCACCAAATGCTGTCTCCAATTTGATAGAATTACCCTGACAACAAGGGTTTAAGGCTGAGAAGAGAACCCTTCAGTCCAGCCAGTTTTCCACCTGCATGACAGATTAATGAGTTCACAATGGAACTTCTGTCAGAAATCCAGCCCTCAGGAAAGGTATGGCCTGGGCCCCACATTAGAATATCTGTAAGAGGGGAAGCTAGATCTGCTGTTGACCACACCTTGATCTTTTTGAATCTTTCTGATTAGACAGAATTTGAGATGGCATCACAACTTTTCAAGGGTCAGGCAATGCTCACACGCATCCCACTACATCATATAGTACTATATATCCTATGGCTTCTATACTACATTTTTAACATCCTTCCATTAGTTTAAACCCACCACTAGAAAAAATGTATTTCTTACACACGAAACCTTCACACTTAACAACCTTTAAATTACACCTTCAATATTTTCTTTGCATTTTTTAAAATAATCATAAGCAAGTTTTAAAACTATTTGTCAAATATCTGTAACTTTTTTCATCACCAATCTTTCTATCACAATGAAATGCTTTGTCTTCTCTGAAAAAAATCGATATACATCGATTTTCAAGGTTAAACTGTAGAAGAAATTTTATTAAGTATGCTTCATACCTACCCATATTCTGAAAAGGTTTGTTCATATTTTTTACATGTAATACTCTTGTAATTTCACAAATTATGTGTCTCAGTCTGGTTTATGGGCCAAAGAGTCACCTCCTTTTTGTAACAAAAGTGAGTCAGATTGACAGCAGCATCTATCTTCCTTTCCTGTTGAACACACTTGTGAACCAAATACACAAACCTGGCCAGAACCACACAACAGCAAATTTCCACCAAGAGCATTGTGGTATATGATATCATTAGCATCTCACAGTGGGACATGCTGCTTCTGCTTTGAAACCTATATGACAGATTTGTTGTTTTTGCTGTTATGAGCTGGAATGAAGTGGATTCTGGGAGGGAAGTAGTCAGCTGGGTTGTTTCAGCTGCTGTTGTCGTGCTAAAGATTGCGGTGGTGACCGCTGTTGTGTCTGCTGGGGTGTGGGTAACAAACGCAGTAGTTGTCCACATTGCTGTTGTAATTGCTGGTGTTGTGAATGTGAGTGATGTTTTCAGGTGGGTGGAGGTGATCAAGGCTGTGGTTGTTTCTGTCACTGTAGGTGGCTGAACAGTGGTGTCAGTTGTAGTGTGAAGAACGGTGGTGGTGCCAAATGCTGTGGTTGGAGTGCTTGTGGATGCCCCTGTTGTTACAAGCTGCGTAGATGTTGTGTGTGGCGCTGTGGATGTAATTGACTCTGTAGTGGTGAACACTGTGGTAGATACTTCAGTGGTTGTAAGTTCTGTAGATGTTGCATGTGGTGCAGTGGATGTTATCGTCCCAGACGTAGAGGCCAGCGTGGTCAACACAATGGTAGAAACCTCCGTAGTTATAAGATTTGTAAATGTCGTGTCTGGTGCTGTGGATATAATCTTCTCAGAAGTAGTGGCCGCTGTGCTTGGTATTGTTGTTATGGCCCTAATTGTTGTTGTTCCTTCCTCTGTTGTCAAAGCTGTCGTAGGCCATGTTGTAGTTGAAGGAACTGTAGTGCTCTTTATTATTGTGGTAGCCAAAGTTGTAGTAGGTACTGTGGTTGTTAAGCATAACAACTGATCCTCTGTAAGAGAAGCAATATTTTGTCCCTTTAAGTTTTCGGGACTTTCACAAGTAATTGATGAAGATGTTTTAATTTTCTGTGGATTTCCTTTTATCCAGTTGAATAGATATGTCATTCTACAGTCACAATGCCAAGGATTGTTGTTTAGATGTACTTTGACAAGTTTCTTCAAGGACTTAAATATGCCATCAGGAAGAGTGTTCAAACTGTTATTCATTAGATTGATTGTCCGCAGTTGAGACATATCGCCAAAAATCTCTTTCTCTAAAGACCCAATAAAGTTATATTGTAAGTGGAGGTCCGTGAGGTTTTTGAGGCCCTCAAAATACTCTTTTGACAAACTGGTAAACTGGTTGTCAGACAAGTAAAGTTTCTTTAGATTTGTGAGGTTACTGAATACTCCTTGTGGAAGCGTTTTCAGTTTGTTCGTTGTGAGATTTAGAACAGTAAATTTGGGCATTTCTCCAAACAGATTTACAGGAAGGCTTGTTAGCTGGTTATTATTTAGTGTTAGTGTTCTTATTTTAGGAAGATCAAAGAAGATTCCTGTAGGTAGGTCAGACAATGAATTTTTCTCCAGAAAAAGCTTTTCGAGGTTTTTGTTGTTAGAAAATAAATCCTGGGGCAATGTTGTCATCTTGTTGCCTTGAAGTCCAATTTCTGCCAAATCTGGAAGATTATCAAAGATCCCTCTCGGAATAACATTGATCAGATTTTCGTAAACCCGTAGTTTTTGTAATTTCTGAAGTTTACTAAAAATTTCTGTTGACAGAGAGCTGATGTTGTTTTTCGCCAGGTGAAGTGTTTTAAGACTTTGAAGCTGATCAAATATTTCCTCAGGTAGTAAAGCAATTTGATTCATATGTAGTTGGAGTTCTCGTAAATTTGTAAGGCCATCAAATAACCCCTTCTCTATGGTTTGAATTCTGTTGCTTTTCAAAATAAGTGTTGTCAAATTATCCAAACTGTTAAAGAGACCGATAGGTAGAGATGTCAGCATTGAGCCTGAAATTTCAATTTCAATTATATTATCCAATCCTTCAAATGCTGCGGCTTCTACTGAAAAAGTAGGTGTGTTCATGAACACCAGCTTTTCAACTCCAGTGTAGTTTCTGAAGGCTCCATTTTTGATTGTAGAAATCTGACTTTGCACAAAATATACTCGTGTAATACCACTCCCTAAAGAGTCAGGGATTTCTGTTATATTGTCACCATAGACAGCCTTATTAAGAGGTGTTTGAGTTGTTCCAAAGCTACAGTCAAACAGCAGAGGCAGAAGGAACATAAAATATGCTTGACACATTTTTGTCTGGAAGAAATGTGAAAAGATCAAAGGGTTTTTAGTTATTGAACATTTCAGATATTATATGTAGAGCAAGGTGAATTTACAAATTCTAAGCAAGACAAGTAGGATGCCCATGTGAACAAAAGAAACAAAATGTGAACATATGGAATAAAACAAGGACAATGGCACTAATTGTTCCATGACTGTATCTAATAATATGAAGTCTTCAATTTCGATTTTCTGAGGCCTAAGTACATTTACTGGGCACTGGTAAAAAAATAAATTGGTCAAACACAGCATCATCGATCTGCAAGTAGTTATTAAATAAAATAATGTAATAAATAAACAAAGCTGTAATTAAATGTAATACCTGAAGAAAGCTTAGCAGCCCAAACATGTTTTTTTTATACTTTTCAGCACAGAATTAACTTTTACATGTTCATTAGATGTAATATGTAACTTATTGGTAAAGGAAATATACAATACAAGATTCATTGCTTGATTTAATTTAAAACATTTCTTGAAGCAATAGATTAATTATCTAAGTCAATTAAACTTCTAGTTGCCCAAAGATTTTTGTAAAAATACCTTTTACCTGGTTTTCCAAGGGGTGAATATTTGCAAAAGGACGTCCAAAGCAGAATAAAAAAAAACAAGTTAACTGGCACAAAATATGTGGAAGTTGGCTTCTGAAAAACAAACTTTTCTTTTACTGTCACCGATGTTACACACTACCCAGTGGAGTGGTTTTGGGGCGTGTTTCTAAGAACTCCATCCTGCAAGTATAGATAAGGAATGCTCTCTGACAAAAAATATGAACTGCAGCCCAGGCTTTAGATCTATTGCAGGTCACAAGCCAGCTCTAAGTTGTCTCAGTTATGCAGATGAGTGAAACCAATAAAAGATGTTTGAATGAAGTGTAATGATATATGGTTGTCAAAATATATTTCCCTGAACAGAAACATAAGTATTTTCTGTTCCCACAGTCCTTATCATATCAGATTGGTATCTGATGAGGGCTTCTCTAAAATTCAGCTTGATTTTTGTCTTTATTCTCCATGATACAAAGTATGGGAAAAAAGTTAGTGTTAGCTTGTTGTAGCCTCAACTGGTCAGAACTCAGAAGCTAAGAAAGGCTGTACCTTTCTTAAGTACTGGAATACTGGATACTGGCACAGGAGACCTCAGAGTAAAATCACATAAGCTACATTGACAGGCTAAAAGAATCCAACCATTTCAGGATTCAGCAGAGGAGATGGGGGTCATAATAAATATATATAAATATTCAAAATCCTCAAAAGTCACAGACAAAGCAGATCCATCAGTGGACCAGAGGCCACAACTGGAAATTACATGGAAATGCATTTTAAGACTAAGAAACTGAGAAGGAGGTACTTCTTTATGCAAATGGTTGTGGGAGTATGGAACAAGCTATCTAGCCATGTTGTCAAAGCTAATTCCCGATTTTGATAGACAATACATTTCTTTCACTGAATGTCTAGATGATGTTCTCAGACCTCTTAGCTACTACCAAAAGAGCTGGATATGCCAGATAGCTTCCTCTCATGTATAATCTTTCTTGGGTTGTTTCTGCAAATAATGTTGGTGAATCTGTAGTTTTCCTCTTTAATCTCTTTTACTCTTCCCTCTTTGAGCCTTTAACTTTCATACAGTAAAATGCAGTTGCAACGTGTTCAATTTGATAAAGAATTTATACAGTACGTACAGGTATATGACTACGAGTGCTAAACAAAATGTAATGCTTTTTTAAAGAATGGAGTATAGAAATGGTTTTGTATACTGTATAAGGATCTAGTAAATCTTTGTTGTACTTTGAACAAAGCCAAAATCAGGAGAAGTAAAGTTTATTCACCTTTTTAGCAGTAGTATTGGTATTTGGCATTAAACCTTGTCCTCCTTCTTTATGGGCTATGCAATAGAAATGTTTTAAAGCTATTTTACTTTAGTAAATCAAAGGTAAGGCTTTTAAAAAAAATTGTAACGAATTGATTGTAGTGAAATAAACCTACGATAACATATTTGAGGAGAAAATAATCCGAAAAAGACAAAAAAATTACATAATAAAAGTACACTTTTTTTGCATCCAGGTTGATCGTGGATAGTTACTTTAAATTAAAGCTAATTCAAGATTTAGGGATGTATCAGGGAAAGGCATTTACCATTTACTAATGCTGAAAATACTAAACTTAAAAACACTTTGATTCAGTGTATAGTTTTCTTTGATATTATACAGAACAGGTTATCAAAAATACTTATACATTGTTTTCACAAGTTTACATACCTCATTTACAGAAACCTTTGCCACTGTGAAGGAGGACAAAAGAAGTTTCAAGAAGTTGCTTGCTGTACTTACAGGTGTCAGCAATTTCTTCTATTTAATTAAATACTGTATTTCATAGTGTCATTACAGACATGAATATGTGATTTCATTATGCTCTTAGAGTACCTTGAAAGTTATTAAGGCAAATAGACAGTTACTGATTTCACTTAAAATATTACAACAAGGAGTAGCTGGTAACATGTAAGTGGTTACTGAGGTCTTTAAACAGTAATGGAGATGATCGTGTTGAGACATTGTGAGTCTTCAGGAAGGTTTCCCACAGAAATTTGATTTATTTTCTTCCCATGTTCATTAGAAACCTCAGTTTCAACCTTGACTTTGGGACATTTGGAAATGCTACATTTTATGTAGATCACACCATTTCCCTCACTGAGAGCACACTGTCTTGTGTCTTTTTGACTTTCAAATATCTGGGCCTCTGATATTTCAGAGATATCCTTCCCTGCCTGAGGACGCCTTTGGGAGGAGGACAAGTCTCTAATGCATGTTGTAAAATTCTGAGCAGGACAAACAAGCTGCTCCTGCCTCAGAAAGACCAGACTCTGTCCTTTGAGAGGCTCAGGGCTCTGACAGTATATCCTGCCAGAGTGCTGTATGCTGTAAGTGCTGTACTGAATTAACCTGTACAGATATAACAGGTTGCAGTCACAGGTCCAGGGGTTGTCGTGTAATGACAGGAAAGGCAGAATTATTACTGCATCAAAAAGCCCTTCAGGAACTGTACGCAGCTTATTTTGGAAAAGGCCAAGGTGTTCCAGATTGGTCAGATTTTGAAATAATTCCAAGTCCAATGAGCTCAGGTTGTTTTTTTGCAGATAGAGTTTATTGACGTTTGTTAGGTCTTGAAAGACCATCTTTGGCAGGGACCTTATTTGATTATCCGCTAAGCTGAGAAATCTTAATTCTGTAAGATTTTGGAATGCCTCTTCTGGAACAGCTGCAAGCTTATTTTTTGCCAGATTCAAGTAGGTGAGACATGACAGTTGTGAGAACAGTGCAGGAGAGAGCTTGGTGAGTTGGTTCTGCTCAAGGTTTAAATGCGTCAAGGGTGGGTGAAATGTGCCCGGCGCAAGTTCTTTTAATACGTTTCCTCGTAAATTTAATTCTTTCAATCCTCCCAAGTTAGAAAAAATGTCTTTGGGAAGGGCAGCAATCTTATTACCTTGCAAGGAAAGTTCCTGAAGTCTTACAACATTAGAAAACACGTTCGATTGTAGAGTGACTATTTGGTTCTCATTCAGAAAAAGGGTTTCTAGCTTGGTCAGGCCACAGAAAAGGTCCTTACTCACAACAGATATCATATTTTGAGAAAGATCCAGAACATGGAGCTGGTGAAGCTGATGGAATAAATCCTCTGGTAGTGTGGATAAAAGATTACCTTTTAGATGTAAGATTTCCAGGTTCTGCAAGTTATCAAAAAGGCCTGTGTCCAGAGTTCCGAATTTATTGAAGTTTAGAAACAATTTCTTCAGGTTTGTCAATGAGGTGAAAACATCCGTCCTGATTTCACTGAGATTACGGTTACCACTTATCTCCAACTCCTGCAGTTTTGTCAGCTCATCAAAGGCACCCTCAGACACCTCCACAATAAAGTTATTGAGGAACGTGATCTTCTGGATCTCTGGGCTATCTTCGAAAGCATCAGGCCCAATACGAGTCACGCTAGTTGCCATAATTGTGAGTTCTTCTACAGCAGAGGTAATGTTCACAGGGACAGACTTCATTGCATCGTCGGCACACAACACTTTGGCTGGAGTGAAGCACTGACATCTAACTGGACAGCTTTGACCATGAAGCCTGAGCTGAAGCAATAAAAATAAGGCAATGACGAATTCTGTTGTCATGGTTTGTTCTGAAAATAAAAGAATGCACCAATTAACACTGACAAAAAGTAATCACCACAAGGACTCCTTTGAACATTACTGCCATATTATGTCAGACAAAAAATCTTTAGATCATTGAAGCCTCACTTTGATCTAAGAAGCTACTTCAATTCAATATTTCCATTTCGTTTCTAGACAGAGGATTTTATTTCACTTCTTAAAACATACAACAGTTAAAGATACAACATGTTTAAGAGCTGGGAACAAACAAAATAGCTCAGATTAACCATATTAATTCAGTCAATTAAGGTTTTTATTGTATAAATGAGAGCCCAGCTGGAACAAAAACCAACAGGTCTGTAGGTCACCAGGTCCAGAATTGGGAACCACTTGTTTACACTTGAATTGAAACAGTATTGGCACTGAGAAAGGGTGAAATTACAGGAGCTGCCCAGCAGAGGGCAGTACAGCGGAGCGCTAGTCGTAGCTCAGTGCCTCGCAAACAGTTCTTGATGGAGTTACCAAGTAACAGGTGTATCCTCACCCTCTGCCTGTCAGTTACATATTCAGTTATGACACTGTTTACAGGATTGTGCATATTTTTCTTATGCCTTATTCTTTAACCACACAGAGAGAACAATAGCTTGTTTTCAAGTTGTAGCATCCGTTAAAAAACTTCACTCTGTAATGACTTTTAACTTTAGTATTTTAAAAATCTCAGTAAGTCTGCCTCCATGTGGTTATTTTATTTTTCAAGTTAACGGTAATCGTACACTGGCCAGTGTGATTCTTTGTGTTCTCCTTGCTTATTTCTGAAACTTGGAAGATGCACAGTATTCTATCAGATATGTATCAAATTAAAAGCTCCCATTGTTAGCACTGAACTGGTTCCAGTGGTTTCTTGAAGTCTCGACCCTTTAATCACCGACCTTTACCGGAGACATTTTTCACTTTTAAATTCTATCACGTTTTTAAAGTCATTGATAATTTACAAAATGCATATAATTTCGAGAAAAAAAAACTTCGAAACAATTGCTCATTAAATTAAATGCTTTTGTTACCTATGAGATCTGATTTTAAAAATACTAAGAACCTCTGGACTTTTAAAAAACGATAAGCTGGTAAATTCCTAAACCTATAACTTTCCTATAAACCTGTAACTATAATAATGTACATTGTTAGTATTGTTTTAACGTAGACGATATTCATACATATATAGTTACCCTTATTACAATTTACTTAATATATTGAAGGTAAATAACGGAAATCAAATCCGATATATGTGATTTTGGACTTACTTGGTTTAGCTGCTTCCTAAAGTACTTAGAATCTGGTCAGTCAAGGTGTAAAAAATGAGGTTGGTCCTGTTGAATCTGTCCGGTGCTATGCTGTAGTGTCCGAGTGAGTCACCACGGGGTGGGACCGGTTCGAGCTGAGGAATAAATTAAACCAATAAAGAGCAACGCAGAGCGCCCGTAGAAAGTTATACAACCTCAAAGTTAAAAAAATAATAATAGACGTTTGACAAAACTTTATACTAGAAAAAAACTTCTGGCAGAAGATGAAAAACTATTTGTTTTGGCTGCATTCTTACAGTATATTACGGTTTCATATATTTTGGCTGCATTTTTGTTCAGTTTAGACAGTCAATGATTAATGTAGTAGGTATGTCCAAGAATATTTTGAAGTGCAGAACCAGTTTTCCATGGATATTATAATACACAATTGAGCAAAAAAAACAACATTTTTACATTCACAATAATCAATGTTTAGTAAGACGTTAGTCTCTTAGACTGTACTTTTATTTAAAAAAAGATATTTGATAAAAGAAAACTGTTAAAATATTGTTTTATTATTATTACCGTGCATTTAGTTGATGGTGCAGTTTGTGCAAACATGTAAAGTGCACCTGTACCTTGAACCTGGAAAGAAAAACAGATTAAACAAAGTTTATTCACCTTTCTTCCATCATAGGACTTCAGATTCTTTGGTGATGTAAGCAGGATTCAGATATTAAATAAAGCCAGAATTGCTCAATGGGAACTGTGTATCCACATTAAGTAGGATCTATAACACTTTACTTGCGAATACGGCTCAAAGACCGAAAAGCGTTTTTTCTGGACTTTTTCCGGACTTTGCACATTTCGGCGTGAAATCAGGTCAGATACAAGTATTGATTCTATAAGTTTTAGTTTAAATATAACAACATTATATTACACTCTCTCAGCAGCCAACGGGTTAATAAATAACGGATCAATTTAATGCAATCACCATCTCAAAATGGTTTTCAGTGTGTTAGGTTAGATCAGGGGATTAAGAGATTAGTTACATCAAAGTGAACAATTGAGCAAAATACACTACTTTAGATACATATCATAATAGTAACATTCTACAAATACTGAAATATACTGTATAAGTATATAATGTGACAGAATGGAAATGATTTTTTTTTGTTTACTGAAGAGATAAGGAAAAATCTATGATTAATTTATCTGTGTATCTACCCTCAATGCATATAAATGCATATGATTTGGGCTGATCAACAACAACGATGAGTCCGCATACGGGAGAGAGGTGGAGAATCTTACAAGATGGTGCCTGGAGAACAATCTGGCCTTGAATGTCAACAAGACAAAATAACTCATTGTGGACTTCAGGAGACCCAGCGGGAGTCATGCCCCAATCAGCATCAATGTCACAGCAGTGGAAACTGTCAGCTGCTTCAGGTACCTCGGTCTGTAGCTCTCCACCGACTTGGTTTGGTCTCACAATACTGTAGCCAGTCTGAAAAAGGCACAACATCGCTTTCTGCGGGCTCAAAGAATTGCGTTACGGGAAGCTATTCCTCATGAGCTTTTACCACGGGACCACAGGAGGTGTCTTCACTAGTACTATCGCTATGCGGTACAGGAATGCTACAGTGCATGACAGAGATGGACTCGCACCATCCGCTGTCACAATAAAACCCGATCCATCATTCAAGATCCCAACCATCCCGGCCACAAACTGTTCTCCCCCTGCGCTCTAGCAAGCGGTCCGGCATTATTAGAGCACGGATCGCTAGACTCAAGAACAGCTTCTACCCCACTGCAGTGCGCATCCACAACAGCTAACTGCAGGGCCTCAGACTCAATACACATCTGCACTGTGCACTTTTTGAAGGTCTACCGTGGGTTTTTTTTTCACACTGCTACTGTACATGTTTATTCTCCCACAAAATATGTATTATTCCTGTTGTTATTATTTATTATGTTTGTAAGTTTGTAATGTACTGTCTACATTGTGGGGTGGTTGTCTGTTGAACTGTGTATGTCGCGAGAGATTAGCAAGAATTCCAATGTAAATACACGTATGGCCATAAACTACAGTACTAAACGCCTGTGTGCATCTCAGTACAGTACTACATTTTTGTTGATTTTGCAGGACCTTGCCAGAAGAGGGCAGCAAGGTAACTACTAAATTGTGAGAGAATGTGGTATCTAGTTATAGATCAATTACCGAAGCTAAAAACACTGAAACTAATCATACTGATAGTAGTGTAAATTGTGTGAGATTAAATGCTGAGTATGAACTTTCTAAATATTAATTAGTTTAAGGAAAAGTTAAAAGCAAACGTACAGTACCAATTTAAATAATTAGACTGTGTTTTTATGTACTATTCTGTCAGCCGTAGCCAATTTCACAGAGATCGGAAACTCCACAGCAGAAATGTTGTATTCTTTTTCTTTTTCAGCCTTTGTCGTTAAGTGAGCACTTCATGGAATAGACCTTTGAATTTTGAATAAGAGGAAGTCACGACTAGGTTTATACAGTAAATGTTCTCAAACTCACATTCTTGAGTGTATGGGCAAAAACAAGCAATCCCCAAGACAAAATCGCATGTAAAATAAAATGAAATCAGTTTATACGTGCGGAGCAGGTACGGCACTTAATAACAACAGGGAATAATAATTCTGGACACTCCACTCAAAGCGCTTTACAGGTAATGGGGACTCCCCTCCACCACCACCAATGTGTAGTCCCCACCTGGATGATGCGACGGCAGCC